CTGAGATGGTAAGTGGCAGTATCCTGCGGAAATCCAACAATATAGTGCATGAGATAGAGAGCAAAATGGGAAAGGAGACGGGTGGTGCTGGGAAGCTGCATGTTTATAAAGAAAAACATCAAGCAGAATGAAGTGCAGTAAAATAAATATATTTTCCTGGGTAGGTTATCACCACAAATAGGCTAAAGTCTGTGTGTTCACTTGTTTATCACCGGCTCTCTGCTCAGCTGACTATATCAAAAGCTAGCAGAATGAAATCAAGTTAAAATGACAATAAATCATCCAATAAAAATAATGAGGATTTTAACAAATGATCAGATGGCATAGAGAGGCACCTAGTCGGCACAGCATGACTGCATGTAGTACAGCATGTAGTACTGAGGTTTACTGTCTGTATCGTTTAACTTAGAGCTGAGAGTGAGACCGCCACCAGTTCACTACAGTTTACTATGAATACTGTTTTCTTGTATCACAGCTCAGACGTGCTTCCAGTTGACCCGTCAACATCAGTAAAAAAATACAGTCTGTGCTGCAGATTGTGTTTAAAACAAACCAAAAATAATGAGCCCAACCACAGATGTAACATTCACCGCCCCAGCTTAGTTCCACTGAGTTACTAATTTTTCATCGCTCCTCACTGCAGAACTGATCCAAGTAGCATTTCATGACATCTCCTTTGTTTTGTGACCCAGATACTGGACCCAGCTCTCATGACAGTGGCCTGTAGATCTGCACTAAACAGCCGCTGGTGTGTTTTGCAATGTGTAGAGCATGCAGACTGTCTGTAGTTGTATTCATCCATCCACAGTGGAATCTGTCTGATGTGGCCACATCGCTGATTGATGTGAGCAAATGTTTCCACCTCCACAGCTCAATCAGTGCATGCTGTGTGATTAGTGTGTAGCTGACCTAGGATCAGCAGTAGCTGGTGTGCATGCTGTGGTGTTAGTGGCTGTGGGTTAGTAGTGCTGTGGTGTGCGATGTCCTCGCCTGTCGCTCTCTTCCTGGCTTTTCAGCAGAAAGTACAGTCACAACAAAGCAAGTTGTGCCAGCGTTTCTGCTACCATTTGATTCTGGCCTCATACACCTGCTGAAAGCTTTGCCACCTCAGCTTCTTGGAAAATGCTTGAACTTTGCAACCTTCATGCTTTCCCAGTGTGCTATCTGACAATCTGGACTGGATTCTTGGAGCAGTCATAATGTGATGATGAAATCATTTACTATACTCCTTTCAGACATGAAGTCCAAGCAAAATCTGGACAACAGGGTACGGCGGATCCTTTTAGACATGTACCAGCTGACACACATGCAGCACATGATCCGGGCAGCTCAGCAGTGGTTCTTTGGTAGTAATGAAAGGTTCCAAGTTGTACTTGAGAGCCATTCTTTTTATCTTTGTGCCCAAATGTCTCTGCCTGCTCCAAATCCACAGCGGTGGAGCAAGCTAGAACAAAGCTGTGAGTCAGAGACATAAAATGTTCTTTTCTGATTGTTTGACTGCCTCGTTGTCCTGCTGTGGGCTCTTTGCTGCACTTCAGCTCTTATACCTCAGACAGGTAAAAAAAAAAAAAAAAAAAGACATAACAATGAGGAATGAAGCCATACGATTCAGGTCCTTTCAGAGTGCTTCCCCCACCACTAGCCCAGTCCCATGGATGGAAACAAAGAAGTCACTGACCCTGTTCTCATATTCAGTCACACGGGTAATATCTGGACATTGTACTAGGGAGCCGGCAGGGTAATGTCTGAGTAGACTTGCCTGGACATTTTCCAGCCACGTGTATTCACACATACAACCTACCCGCACGAGGTCCAGGCAATGCCACTTCATGTCTGAAAGGGGTTTTCGACACAGACTGTATTCATAGCATATTTGTTATTTGTTATACCAGGAAACCTCTCTTTGTACTGGGATAACACACGCTTTAGTTAAACCAGCAATGGGAGTAAATTTGGTTTAGTGATGGATTCACAGTATTTGAATGAATTCAGTTTGTTGGCCAGCACTGCGATTCTCAGTTGGCATTGTTACATTTTCTGGCAGTCATTATAGAAACATTAAAAAACATTTTTTGTTAGGATCTTTTAAATTATTTATTTCAAATTAATCTGCAAGTACATTTAGAAGTGGAAGACTGAGTCTCCATCCAGGACTCACCACCTCATTTCTAACTCCTCCATCTGCCTGCATCACATATCCATCTCCCCTTCTTTTGCTTTCCTTGCCTCCCGTCTTCCTGTCGCTCTCTCTCGGTCCTCCAGCTGCCACAGTGCCAGAGCAGAAGACGGTCACTCTGGATGTGGACGTCAACAACCGCAGCGACCGAACCGAATGGTGCAGCTGTTATTACCATGGAAACTTCTCCCTCAGCACTGCCTTTGAGATCAAGCTGCACTGGATGGCTGTCACTGCTGCAGTGCTCTTTGAGATGGTAAGTGGGTGTCTCTCCTCCACCCCAGCTTTGTATCACACCTCATCTTTCACGTCAAGAGAGGCGTGATCAAAATAGCTCGTGACATCTTCACACAAATCCAAACTGCATTCCAAACACTCCGAATCTTCACATGCCACGTTGTTTCAAAAGATGAATGAAGAAACACACTAGTAACAACAATAGTGAGATGACAGAAAGAATACACAGAATTGAGATAGTAGTAAAGTATTCATCCCCGGTCGCTCTGATTTGTTTCTGTGAGCTTCCTCCTGTAAAGCACCAGTCACTGGGTTGGTACTTATTTGTGTTCAGATATCTCTTCAGTATTTAATACACTGACAAAGTGAAACTCCACTTGTTTTTCAATGGCATTGCTCTTTGTAAAGCCTTAGCAGATAGAAATGATTATTCTAAATGAAAAATGAGCTCTGAGTTTTAGAAAGTTGTTTTTGCTCTTTAGAACTTGAAAACTTTGAAGCTCTTGATCTCAGAATAGTTCAGGTCGCACATAGAGCCTCATCGATGTCACCATCTTTTGCTACTGAGTTACTAACAGAACATAAAGAGACACATTCTAATAGAGGCATCATTATAAAAGTTCAGCTCGTGTGCTAGTTTGCATAACAGATTGTCTTGCCACAGGGAGTTTGTCATTGAGTGTGAACGCCCACTGGAGGAGTTTGACATTACATGAGCAGGAAAAGGAAGTCTGTGTTATAGCTGTACAGATCTACAGAGACCGGATTTCAGCCAGTTTTAAACCAGGCGTTTTGTGTCAGGTCCAAGGTTGGCACAGGAAGGCAGCCTCCTGCGGCTTCCTGTTGGTTCCTGTGCTGGAGGTTCCTTTTGCGCTGACGTCATACCTTTATGGAGACCCACTGAGAGTCCAGCTTTTCATCCCTCTGAACATCCAGTGTCTGCTGAAGAACAGCAACGACAACCTGTTTGAAGGTACAGCAACCCTCTGGAACTCTGTGTGCATGTGTGTGGTGTCTGTTTAGCAGCTCAACATCCATCTGTTTCCATTCATCAATCAGGTTTTGAACCAGAGACCTACTGGGACAGGATGCAGCTCTTTCAGGAGGCCATACTATACAGGTTGGTGCTGTTTAATGGTCTTCCAGGCTTTTAGCAAACAATGACCATTACATTGGTGCTTCCTTCCTGAGAGTGACGCATTTAAAAATCTCTTTTCTTCTCAGTAATGTTATTTGCATGTTTGTTCTTATTCACATGAATGCATAATAACAGAGGTTGTATCTGATTGTATCCAGTGTAGCTGCTGGTAGGATTAGCACTGGGGGACTGACCACACATGTAGTACGAGTAGTTTGTTCAGGTTTGGTTACACACCCAGTTTTATCAGCCTCTGGGAAATTCTTGTTATATGGCAGATAGTTTTTTAGTAACTTACAGCATGTCTTGGCAGGTAGGTAGATAGCTTTACCTGTGCCTTGATTTTTTTAAGCTAGTAATGTCCATAAGTGCCTGTTTAAAAAAAAAAATGGAGGCATACAGTTTGTTTGTCACTAGCTAACGTACTGCTATTGCTTTTCACTCCTTGTAGCATCATTTAAAAACAGATGTATTGCACTCACACTCTTCAACAAAATGATATCTTATACTTAGTTTTCTATAAATTCAGTTACTGTTAAAGCATATGTTTTTGTTTCTGTTTTTGTTTGTTTTTTTACAGGAACTATATTTATGATTGTAATGCCACAGCACTGTAGCTGGAACCATTATTTAGTGTGCTAGGATTTACAGTGACTGACTAAGTTCTGTCTTGACCAAATCTGTTTTCTGAATTTTTGAGTTGCTTCACCCAAAATGTGTAAATGGTGTGCTTTCTCTTCCAGATTTGGCTTCGTGCATGACAAGTTTTCAGCTTCTGCCTTTAATTTCCCCTCTGAGAACAAGCTGCAGTACATTCACGTAACAGGTTTGTGACATCACAACAGAAAACCTTTTGGTCACTAGACAATGGGAGGCTTACAGTCAGTACATAAACTATTCAGAGCCTTCACTTAGTCCTTGGTCAAAGCACCTTTGGCAGCAGCGACAGCCTCAAGTCTTCTTGAGAATGAAGCTACCAGCTTAGCAAACTTTTCTTTTTGGAATTTTCTTCCATTCTTCTTGGCAGAATTGTTCTAGGCCAGTCAGGTTGGATGGGGAGTGTCGGTGCACAGCCATGTTCAGGTCTCTCCAGGGATGTTCTGTTGGGTTCAGGTCCAGACTCTGGCTGGGCTGCCCTAGAACTTCCACAGAGTTTTCCTGAAGCCACTCCTGTGTTTTCTTGGCTGTATACTTCATTGTCTTGTTGAGATGTAAACCTTGGTCCCAGCCTGACATCCTGAGCACTTAAAGAGAAGGTTTTCATTCAGAATAGCTCTATATGTTTTTGTGTCCATCCTTCCTTCTGTCCTGACTAATCTCCCAGTCCCCACAACCTGATGCTGCCACCACCATGTGTGAATGTAGGGATGGTATCAGTGAGGTGATGCTCAGTGCCTAGTTTTCTCCACACAAACTGTTGGGAATCTTTGTTTCATCAGACCAGAGGACTTTACTTCTCATGATCGACTACTCTGTTTGGCTGGGAGGCTCTGTCGGTGAAGTCCGGTTGCAAATCTCTTCCATTTGAGAATGATGAAGTCCACCGTGCTCCTGGGCACTTCTGATATTGCAGAGATGTTCTTGTGTCCTGCCCCAGATCTGTGTCTTGACACTGTCCTGCCTCACAGGTCTGTGGACAGCTCACCTCATGGCTTGGCTTTCACTCTGACATACACCATCAGCTGTGAGACCTTATACAGATGGGTGTGTACCTTTCCTAATTATACCCAGGGCATTAAATTAGGCACAGGTGGACTCTAATCAAACTGCAGAAGCATCTCACTGACAGGAGCAGGATGCACCAGAGCTCAAGTGTCATAACAAAAGCTTTGAATCCTTATGTAAATGGACTTTTCAGATTTACAAACCACTCCAAAAGCCTGTTTTCACTTTATCATTGTGGAGCATTGTGTGTAGATTGATAAGGAAAAAAATTATTGAATCCTTTTATTTTAAGATGGGTGGAAAACTTAAAATGTGGAAAACTTAAAAGGGTCTCAAAACATTTTGTACTGACTGTAAATCCTGCACGACCTGTTTCCTGCCAGGCACCGTGTTCCTGCAGCTGCCATACTCCAAGAGGAAGTACTCCACTGGGCAGCAACGCCGGCGCAGAAATTCTACCACATCCAACAGCCAGGGGCCGTTCAGCAGTGAGGAGCCGGTTGGTTACTACTGGGCCTACAACACGATGCTGACCAAAGTGTGGAGGACAGGCGTGCTGGGTGATGAGAGGCTGGCCGACCGCCTCCTCCGAGACTTCACCGACTTTTGTGCCAACAAGGACAACAGACTCCTGACCTTTTGGGACAGCTGTCAAGAGAGAATGAATGCCAGCGCCCCTTGAAGCAAGGACCACTGCCTGGCTGTGAAGCACCCAATGGTTTTAGACGTCCTCATAATTTTAATGTCATGTCCATCTGACAGTCTGTACGAGTACTTTCAGTCAAAACAATTTGAAAAATGTTACAGCTGTCTGTTGTTACTACAGGCAGGGAGTGTTTATTCGGTTGACATGTTGGGACCCTGGCCACTACAGGATGTCCACCCCAAGAAAACCAGCTGGTCTTCATAAACACTGTCAGTAACAGATGGGGAAATGATAGCTGTGGATTGTGTGGTGTGAAATTAAACAGTGCCTACAGGAAAAACAGCACTTAACTTTTGAAGTCAGTAATTTTCAGAGGCTGGTCTGCATCCTGCTTTTAAATCCAACAATGACCTGAAACCTGAGAACTCATCGCTGATGTGACATGGCACAAAAGGCCTGAGTCGGACTTCTGCAATAAGCAGTTAATCTTAAGTTAACTTGATCAATAGATTTTTAAAAAGCCTTGGGTTTGCAAGAAACTGAAGAAGAAAGGCAGGTTGAATCAAGACAGTATAATTTCTGATCAACTGTCTGCAAAAGAAACTGAGCTGGTGACTGAGGTCACGGCCACAAGACAACTTCTCAAATCACCACCATACGGTTTCAATCTTGGCAGGCGAGTCTCCAGTTTTAATACAGGCAGTAGTAGCACATTCATCCACCCAGAACACGCCTTTGATCGTCTTAATCTATATTCTTTTCCATTACTATCCTTTGAATCAGATCAGTTTATAAACGACTCCTTAATGTAGCACAACATGAGTGAACAAGACAGGACGCACATATGTGTAAACTCTGACAAGAGATGCTGTGTTTATGTGAAGGAGGAGGGTAATATTCTGTATGGAGGGGAGGTGAGCATGTAACAGAAGGAAAGAGGAAGAAATGATAATGAATACAAAACAAGCTCCATGTTTTTATATAAAATGTTTGTGGATGTTCAGGGTCAAGTCACCTGTGCCCCTATAAAATAAAATGTACTACATGATGCAGACCAGTAGCCTCCCCATGTCCCCGCTCAGAGGTGGCAGATAGGAAGCCTGCGAGCTGTGATGTTCCCCCTCATCTTGTTAATTTTAAGCTTTGAGGTTGAAAAACTGTCCAGGATTTTATAAGAAAAAACTATTTGAGAAGGTCAAGATATTTCTTCTTGAGACTGAGTGCTCCTTTGTGACCAGGAACACAAGGTCCAAGCTTTCGCTTCGACAGGACAGGTTTGCCCAGTGGTTCTGAAGATGCTCAAATTATTTTTAAGAGCAAGCACACATTGCCAGTTGCATCACATCAAACTGATTTGTTCCTTTATTACAAAAACACCATCATATTTAGAATCAAAGTTATCAAAAAGGCAACAACATAAAAAAAAGGACAAAGATTGATTGAGATTGATTAACAAAGCTTTTTGTACTGAACTGGAAATGAACAAAAGTTTCCCATAGCTCCAAGACAAACACCAGTACCTGCTCTGATACTCTGCCAGTGTGATTCCCTTTCATTTACATTATTTAATAAATACAATTATAGCACCAACCCCTTTAAAGTCTGAAGTCTGGCTATATCAAATATTTGCTAATCAGCTTTAATTATAAAATACATTTGTTATATTTATGTTCCATTTGGTCTATGATCTGCAAAGAAAGTGATTAAAATTGAAGCATCTCTACATAACAGTAAACTTCTGCCCCACAACTGAGAAAACCCAAATAAGACAGTTTGGTCTGGATGATTTCCAACAAAAACCAGTTATCCCAGTAACAGTTTCAAATGAACTTCAGCAGCTGTTAAACACTGTAAAGTTCTGGTAAACAAGACTTTACAGAGGGCATGGTGTTGACTGACCCAGGTCATTTTTGGTCCCACAGTAACATTCAAGGTGAGTTCATGTTAAGGGCTACCTGTGTGTTAAAGCAAGGCCTTCGCCGTCCTCATCATGTGATATTCTGTGGATTTCAGGGTCAGTTTCACTTGATAGTATGACTGCAATTCATCAGCTTTGGGGAACAGCATGCGGTGGAATGGCCTTTGAATGAAGCCCTGCCCTCTTCTTTGGCGTTTCTGAGCTGAATCACTTGAATACCCCGTAGAATGCATGTGGTTTCCTTTATCATCCTTTTGTGTGGCTCCGATGTCCCTGTGTAGCTGCAGTCGGTCAACCAGCAGGATGGCGGCTCCCTTTGTCCTGTGGAGTGGTCCACTTGGGGCAAGGTGATGTTTAGTCATGTCAGTCATTTGCTATGAAATCTACATGTCAGTGTGGTCCCAGCCTTTCCTCTGCTGCTCTGTATTGTCTACTTAAGTGCACCTGCCATAAAATCAAGTTTAACTGAGGACATTTTGACTAACAAGAACCAAAGGCTGAGCTCAACGCTGTCGGGACACAATGTTCAGGGCAAATACCAACGATCAAATGTGTGCAAATAATGCAAAGTCAAAATATGCTTTGTGATCCCTTCGACACACCTTTAGGAGGAACCTCCTGGAAATGGCTATAAATTGCTGTCAGTTAATGCAAGTCTAAAACTCTGCTTCTTAGTTCCTCTAGTTTCCTGCTCAGCCCTGTAAGAAAGTGTTAAACCTGCCAGTCAGGAATTCCCCTGTGGTTTCCCTGGAAAGCTAAACACAGAGTCTTAAAAAAATATCAAAGAAGTGAAAGTTCTTTCTGTCCAGAGTTTGTGCTTTTCTGTTCTATTTCACTGGAGTCCGCTTTAGGGAAGGTGGGGGGTGGGGGGGCTGCTCCTAGTTGACTCCGGTTGAATCGTCAGAGACGAGTGGCAGATCACCTAGACACACCCACAGGCAGGCAGGAAGTAAAAAGGTATCAAGGAAATAAGCAGTAATAACTCAAGGGAACATCCAAACTATGCAGACGAGTAAATCCTGCACAAACAGTGTAGCCGACTCACGTGATCTGATTCTGATTGGCCAGATGAGGATGGAGCACAGAGCCAAAGCTGCGATGACAGCCACGCCGCCCGTCACTATGACCATGATGTAGTGGTAGAACCACACGCAGGCCGGACAACACGTCACAGTACTGAGAGAAGTGACACAGTAGAGACCAGTCAAACCACCAAGGTCCACCATAGTGCCACTCTGTGGTTTTATTCTCTCACCTTTTCTTTTTGCATTTCTATGTTTGACAAGAGGTCATCTTCTCATACAGTACTACACAGTATATTCTGTGTTTTTACAATGTTGTCTTTGATTATGGTATACTGTGTAGTACTGTACGTAGACTGTAGCATCATACAGACTTTTTTCCATGGATTCAAACTTTATATTCATGTAGTTAGTATTACAGTTACAGCTGGAGGACATGTGACTGATTTAAACTAAAAGATTCAAACTGACTTTCAGGACCTTACAGCAGAGTAAAGACAACTAAAGGCAAAATGCCTTTGAAGTTTTGAGTGAAACAACTATGGGATGGATTTCCATGAAATGTTGTGTATTCATGTCGGCCTCAGGATGGATTGCATTAACCTCCTCTGACTTTATTTATTAAGCTCATTTTTGGCACTGACCCAACACTGAGTATGGTGTAATTTACCAAGGAGGGGCAGCTTGGTTTGGCACCAGGAGGAAAAAAAAAGGGAAGAAAAGCAGCACCACTGGGCGTTGTGTGTTTGGGCTTGTGCACAGTTCCTCATCTGAGACACTGTCGGTGTCACATTGGTGGGGAGGGTGTCACTAAATCACATCTCTCTTTTTGGGATGCAAGAGGAGAATGAAAGGCTTTCAGGTCGCACCATTATTCAGTCACTGTGTTACATGATTGCAATTCAAAAAGATTTGGGTTTTTTTTCCCCAACCAATATACAAATTCAGCAGCTGTAAACTGACACGTTCTTCCGCGCCCCATCTTGGTCCACACACGAGCGATGCAGGCACCAGGTCCTTATAAGCAGAAGCGCATTCAAATGAACATTGCTGTACTCATTCACATCACTAGGGTTCAGAAATGAGCAGCTACACTGAAAAACTGCAGGCACCTGACACTTTGTGCTCCTGATGGGTGGTTTAGAAAATATCCACCATAATCTCGTGTTATCATCAGGTCAGACCTTTCCCCATCAGCCTCTTCTGTCCTCTAAGATAAATGCCAACAGGCTAAACTCAGAGGACTGTGGTGAACACGTTACACCGGCTAAACATCACCCTGTCACTGTGACTGTCGACTTGTCTCGTCACTGTAAAATGAGCTTGATTAGTATTTAAAAAATAAAAATTGTGAAATGTCCCTTTAATTCTGAATCTTATTTTTTTTAAATGAATTAATTCTGGTCATTCATTAAAACTAATCTAACTATGAGGAGATTAACAGTGGGTCATCACTGAACCTAACGTTAGACAACGTTCTACAATGATTAAAGTGAGTTGTCAGTTTATTAGGTACACCCAGCTAGAACTATGGTAACTGTCATGTTTCGTTAGGAACTCCACAACATTTATTCACAAAGTGGTAAAGAGATGGGAGCTGTGTCTAGGGGGGCATTAGGATTAGAGTCAGGGATCAAGGTAAGTCTCCAGGAAATGAATTTAAGTCCACATCAGTGACAAAAACAAGGATGTGTGTGTACTAACTGGCAGGGATGCAGGCCCTGAATGACCATCACAGCCACTCCATTTGCCAGCTTATCGGTGAAACTCATGGCTCCATAAACAAAGGCTCCACTTTGCTGCAGACAGAGAAGCAGAGCTCAGCACAGGGGAAGAGGCAGAGCGACACCATCAGTGCGATCGCAACACGCCTCCGTCTCTCTCACAAACATACATCTTACCGTCTGATCAGCGATGAGCTCAGCAGTCATGGAAAGCGATATGACCAGGATGGTGGCCGACCCTGCCCCCAGCAGCACAGCTGGCCCGTACACCTGCCGACTCATTTTGTCGTTCAGCAGCACCCAGTAGGAAAAGGCCATGATCAGCAGGAGGCCCACAAAGTAGGTGAGCTGGAGCAGTCAGAGTCAGGACACAGAGTAAATCAGCACTGTTCTGGTTCTGATGATTCATATCAGTGTAGATCCATAGTTGATCCCGTTCAGACTGAGGTACTGTTTACCTCCCTGTGTGCTCACAGCTCTCACCTTATTGTACTTCATTTACAGTACCTGAGGCTACATGCTTCTTCTGTCTCCTCTCTTACTTTTTGCTGGCACTTTACTTTTTTTTTTTTACTTTCTCATTTAAAGTCCCTGAACATTCTAACAGATGGTAAAAATGGTAACTGGACTGCACACTTTTCTACCTTACCTGGACAAAGCGCTTTACAGATTCACCCATTCTCTCTCACTCACACACACACACACCCCGATGGCAGCAGAGCTGACATGCAAAGCACTGGCCTGGCCACTGGGAGCAACCTGGGGTTCAGTCCACTTTGACAGGTGGATTGAGGAGAACGGGAAGCGCCGAGCCTGCCATCACGGGTCGACCCGCTCCAGCCCTGAGCCACAGTGGCAAACAGAGCCACAGCTGTCCCCATATCCTGAGCTGAATGTTGCTAAAGACTAAATGGCACGCGACATGAACCACAGACACATTAAAAGGGTCACTGCTTGCTTTATTTCACTTGAGAGTTTTCTGTATTTCTTCTGCTTCTCATCATAGGTTTACAAACTATTCTAACCTGACCTAGTCACTATACAACTTAGCCCTGCACATCATATTTATAACCAGTTCATCTGCAGACTTTTTTTTTTTGATTAATCAATTCATTGTTTGGTCTATAAGCCAAGACTTCCAGGCACCCGGAGTGACGTCAACAAATTGGTTCTCCCTCACAAAGGACAAGCTGAGACCGGGAAACGTTTGGCTTCCGTTTAAAAATGTTCTTCATTTATTCCAGGTCGACCTGTGGACTGTTGTGCTCTAAAAATGAGTGGCTGTTTTACGGAAGTCCTGACATTTCAAACTTATTTGATTGAGACACTACAAATCAGAGACAACTAGTAAAACTTGACCACAGCCTGATTTGGTTCTAGTTATTCAAGGTAAAAGGTGAGAGTAGCCTGAGAGACTGAACTTCTTTTTCAAATTCAGTGCAACAGCTGTGATCCACAAGTCTGGAAACAGGCTGAGGCCGGAGGTTCTACTTACACATTTTCCAATGCGTTTACTGAGAGGCTTCATGAGGAATGAGGAAAGGAAGCCACTGACGTACATCACTAACGGGATGGTTGCTATGAAGTTCTGTAGGAGGGAACAGGAAAGAAACATCACAAAGAAGAGAAGGTCTCTCAGAAAATATCAGCTATACGAGTGAAATGGTGCCGTTACCTTGGGCAGATCCAGGGTGTTAATGAGATACATTGAGATGTAGGTCTGAGACAGATTGACTATCAACCTGGTGGACATGTAGAGTGCGGCCACCTGCAGAGACACAGACCTGTCAGCCGTGACTCGGATTCATGTTTCTGCATCAGTCAGTTTCACAAAAATGCAGCAGCTGGCCAGCTGTTGAAACGGGGACCGCTTACTGCAACAAGGCTTCTTCTGTCCCAGTCCCACTAGCCAAGCCATAGAGCCTAAGCTGTGGTCTCACTGAGCAGAGCCCTCCTACCTGGTAGAAAGAAGGCTGCTGCAGCCAACACTTCCACTGGAGAAGAGCTGAGGTGGTGTTGGGGCGACGGAGCAGAGGCCTCCGCTCCCCCTCTTCCTCCTCTATCCTCCTCCCCTCTGCTTCAGCCTCCATTCTTGTTCCAAGCCTACCCTCTGTGGTCCCCAGGTGGAAGAGTACGGAGGTGACAGCACCGATACCCAAGACAATCAACGCCAGGTCCTGTCATCAAACACAGCAAAGCACAGGTCCAGGCTTCTTATGCACAGGTCTATGGAAGCTGCTTCCCCCATGGGGTGTAAACGCAGCCTGTTGCTGCATACAGTGCAGTAAAACAACCCTCTCGTGACACAAAACCAGTACTGCTATGTTACACACTAAATGAAGCTCTTCTGGCAAAACAATATTTAAACCACCTTATCGGTTTTGTCTCTGCTGCCACTGCAGTTGATCACCACCAGTGTCACAGCCCTGTCAAGGCCTCCATAGGAAACCCTGGAAATAGCAGCTCTACATACAGCCGACAGCATCGCCACCAAAGTCTTCATCAAAAAATAACGCCTCTGCATCCACGTTAACTTGCATCATCTTTCCTGGCTGCACTTTAATCTGACATTTGATTCAGTTGGTAGATTATGTTTCTACATTACAAACTGCTCTTATGTTTGACTGATGTTCAGTTTCAGATTTCTCTTTTTTTAAGTGCAGGGGACATCAAAGTACCTTTTTATGGATTCAGAGAAGAGGCCCAGGACACAAAGTCCACTGCTGCTCATGAAGCCAACTGCCCTGAGTGGAAATAACAGTGGAAGAGGTACCAGGTTGTCTTAGCTCAGAGCTCCTCCCCTCTTGATTTGGCAGCTGGTCAAAAGAAGGAAATGACCTCCCTGTACCCCAGTGATGCTCAAATGGTCAGATCACGCTCCATTTTCAAGTTTTACATGTGAATTAAGATGTCACGAAACACAGGTATTACTGTCACTGGGCTTCCTGTGTGTAACCACAGGCACTTATTTAAGCTGCAGTAACTTCCAGTACTAACGTCCTTTAGGTGGTACTGCTCACCGTCAGTCTCTAGTGGTCACTTTCTGTAGCGCCACCTACTGCTCGATCAAAATACAGTGTTAAGTGATTAGAACTCCTGCTCACCCTGAAGACAGGGATATCTACGGGTCCGAGTGCATCACTGAGCGGGTCGCTGTCCTCTCCGGCATACAAGTAGAACAGCAGGTAGGCCACAGCGTACACTGTGATGTTGGCTATGACTGTGAACGCGTACCTACACACACACACACACACACACACACACACACACACAGCAGGCTCAGGACCAGCGCACCACCGTACTGTGGCCACTGTATGGGTGAATAAAGCATACCTGTAAGCAGTGAGTTCTACTCTAGCGTGCTCACAGGTGACCAGCTCTGGAATGAGAGACAGGTGAGAGATCTGCATGGCAGCCCAGCCGAACTGAAACACGACGATGAACGGGACAAAGTAGGTCAGACTGGCCCACTGTGGGGTGAGGGGGTCACAGCCTAGACACTGGTTGAAGATGAAGGCAAAGGACAGCATCACGCTCAGAGTACCTGGATAATACACACACACACACACACACACACACACACACAGAGACAAAAAAAAAAAAAAAAAAAAAAAAAAATATTCTTTGGTAAGCTGTCTGCAATTTATGTCACAAAACTGAAATGAAGCTTAAAATTCACAGTTCATTGCTCAAGAATCAATCAGGCTCATTACATTTTACACTGTATGTACAGTGGGTACGGAAAGTATTCAGCCCCCCTTAAATTTTTCACTCTTTGTTATATTGCAGCCATATGCTAAAATCATTTAAGTTCATTTTTTTCCTCATTAATGTACACACAGCACCCCATATTGACAGAAAAACACAGAATTTTTGACATTTTTGCAGATTTATTAAAAAAGAAAAACTGAAATATCACATGGTCATAAGTATTCAGACCCTTTGCTGTGACACTCATATATTTAACTTAGGTGCTGTCCATTTCTTCTGATCATCCCAGAGATGGTTCTACACCTTCATTTGAGTCCAGCTGTGTTTGATTATACTGATTGGACGTGATTAGGAAAAGCCACACACCTGTCTATATAAGACCCTACAGCTCACACTGCATGTCAGAGCAAATGAGAATCATGAAGTCAAAGGAACTGCCTGAAGAGCTCAGAGACAGAATTGTGGCAAGGCACAGATCTGGCCAAGGTTACAAAAAAATTTCTGCTGCACTTAAGGTTCCTAAGAGCACAGTGGCCTCCATAATCCTTAAATGGAAGACGTTTGGGACAACCAGAACCCTTCCTAGAGCTGGCCGTCTGGCCAAACTGAGCTATCGGGGGAGAAGAGCCTTGGTGAGAGAGGTACAGAAGAACCCAAAGATGACTGTGGCTGAGCTCCAGAGATGCAGTCGGGAGATGGGAGAAAGTTGTAGAAAGTCAACCATCACTGCAGCCCTCCACCAGTCGGGGCTTTATGGCAGAGTGGCCCGACGGAAGCCTCTCCTCAGTGCAAGACACATGAAAGCCTGCATGGAGTTTGCTAAAAAACACCTGAAGGACTCCAAGATGGTGAGAAATAAGATTCTCTGGTCTGATGAGACCAAGATAGAACTTTTTGGCCTTAATTCTAAGCGGTATCACTAAATTCCAACGGTCATCACTGGCATCTAGAAGCTATTATCATAGCTGTCTACAAGAGATCCAAGAAATCTTGACCTCAATGAGACTTTTTTTTTGTAAACTAAAGTATAACTAATTCTTAGCTTTTGTGTTACCCATATCACGAGGCCTGTCTGACCACAGCACAGCAGGTGCAATATAAAAAGATTGTGCCAAACACACATCTGACATTGTAAAAAGTTTATACTCTAGCTTTTCTTGTGTATGTGTGCATACTATTACTGTCAAGTCATTCAATAATGAAGGTCACATGACTAGACCACTTTAAGCCTCCTCCAACAGTTTAGAGCACATTACTGAACTGGATCAGTACAAAGTGTTAGGTAGCATATCGATTAGAAAAAGATGAATCCTCTTTATGACAACATGTACCCCACACAAACAAGAACTGGCTTCATCCCAGTAATTTTCCGTTCCAACAGATATCTAAATGCTGTGTTAAGTTTCATTAGGCTCACATTCACATGTGATATCTATCGGTGTGTACCAAACTTTAAGCCTTTGGGTCACTGTGCTCACTTTCTAAAGAACACAGTGTTATAAAATATGATGCAGATAATACACAAAAACTGGAAAAAGTACTGCATCTCCTAAACTTGGACCTCAAACTTTATTTCAAAGAGAGCTGTGAATGGGTTACAGGCTCTCTGACTTGACACTTTACTGTAAAATCCTTCCTGTAAATCATTTCTTAATCTCGTGGGACGATAAAGAGAGGCCACAGTGTAATACCATCCATTTGTATGACTTACCCACTAAATGCCATGTCTTCCTCTTGCCATAGTTTCCACAGCCAGGGGTTCTGTCAGACTCGTAGCCGATGAGAGGTGTACACACAGCATCAGCTACCTGTCCGACCAGCAGCAAGATGCCTGGCCCACAGTTCAGTAACACAAGTTATTCAAATAACTGATGAGTGACAGCAGACAGAATAAAGATGTATGACAAGGGTAGATATTCCTTGTATGGATTCAGTATAATTTCATTTCTACACTGCTATAAATATATGCAAATACATAAATACCCTCAACTAAAAAAGGCAAAACCAGTGTAAACAGAATAAAATCGATAGAGTTTAAACCCTGGATGCGGTCTGTAAATGATGAATTGTGAAGTCTTAATATACGATAGGCTTATGTATTATTACTAAGTGTATCATGATGGACGGACAGACAGACTCACCTGCATTCGTGTTATGGAACCCCAGGACTGAGTGGTAAAACACCAGCAGGTACGTGAACCACATGGACGCACACAGGTCGTTCAGAAAGTGGCCCACCGCATAGCTGAGCCTCCTGGGGACCGGCAGAGAGCCCTCTGTGTCCGGCATTATGGCTCGATGGAGACCACCTCAGTTTAAAACCAAATCACACCAGGCGCCTTCATTAGCTGTGCTGACAGGGGTGGAGCACGTTTCTAGCTGGAGAAGAGTTAGAACTGGATGAAAACAAACATTTTCACTTCTCCTTTTCGCTTTCTTTACAGACTCCGGTCGCGACGTTTGTCCGTTCGGCGCCTTATATGTTCGGCTCCAGACAAGTGTGGACAAAGACACGGTCCCTGTATCTCGGTGTCGGTTTCCTCTTATAGAGTCAGGTGACAGCGGGGAGCTGTGTCAAATCCGGGAGGAGCATGTGAGGAGGAACGAGAAGTGAAACAGGGCCACGCTGAAGGACACAGCATCACCGTCATTTCTCCCTTACACCGCGTCCAAACACCTAATCAGCCAGAAACAGCTAAAGCTACACACGGGCCAGATAAAAACCGCCAAAACACCATTAAAAGCCAGCTCAGAATTAAACACAGCTCTCGACAGACGGTTCTTCTCACATTTCACACAGCGGCCGCAAAATATGATGTCAAATCCGCCACTTACCGCCACCCAGGTGGTTACAGACTAAAAACACATCCACTGATAACAAGACGCACAGACGTCAACAATTACACAGACCGGCACGAATGGCGGAAGCATAAAAAGCCAGAATGGACCAATAGGAAACGCGTAGGCGGGGTTAAGTCCATCACGTGATTGCGGCTAAAGCTCGTGTACGAGCGACTGCTGTTGCATCATAAACCGAAAACATTACATATTAAAATATAAAACACTGGCATTTTTGGCATCTAGAAAGGAAGATAAAAACGTGCGATCATTTTTTGCATATTTGGTATCATTATAATTATTGTCAACATGTTTCCAAACATGGCTATCACAGCAGTACAGTGGTACAGTGGTACATGTGGTACTGTCAGATCTAGTTCTACAGTTTTCATTCCATTTCACCTGTTTGGCATAAAGGACATTTTTCTTTATATTTGAGAGATGCTGCTACATTTGTTCCGCCTGTCCAGGGTGGACCCCGCCTCTCGCCCGGTGTCAGCTGGGATTGGCTGCGGGTTCGGGGGAAGTGGGGTTGGTCCAGGGTGTATCCTGCCTCTCGCCCGGTGTCAGCTGGGATTGGCTGCTGTTCAGGGATAAGTGGTATGGATGGAGGATGGAGGATGCTACATTTGTTGAGAGGAACAAACCCTTTTTCAATGCTTTTGTCTAGAGATGCTCCCTGACTCCTTTCAGTCACAACACATCCAAGTCCATCAAACTCCATCCTTGAATGACAGACTTCCCCCAGATGTACCGACTGCAACCACCAACCTTCTCCTCTAGATTGAGCTTGGGCATTCATATTAAAGTGGAAAATATCACTTTCCTGCAAATAAAAGCCCTGTCAAAATTAGGTTTTCAAATTTCACAATAACCATTAACATTCACAAGATATATATGCAGATCAGAGGGAGCTTTATGCTGGTTGGTTACCAGGTTATTTTAATGTTTAGCTGAGTCATAACAAACATTTTTCATGAAGATGAGGCCAAGAACACCGCCATTTTCCACAGCATCTCCTTTTAAAGTACTATGGAGGGAAAAAGTCCCAGTGATATTCACATATGTAAAACTGTACTTATTTACATTTGTAAATAATCTTTGTGCAATATCTTTGCTCATACTACCTGTTATTTGCAGCTGGTGTTTTCAGTCGCACTAACAGTGAAGCTCTGGGGAAACATCACTGTATAAAATCCACCTGTCTGGTTCATGTTTGATGCCAATTCTCAGTGTTAAAACACTACAGACGTACAATATCTGTGAAATACAGTGGTTAACAGCATTCTGAGGATGTTAGTAGTATACCCCGTCTTTTTTACTTTTACATCACCAGAACTACTCTACGCTGATAATCAAACTGAATTACGTTTCATTTCATTTACCAGATTAGGCCTGACATGATTAATGGATTAATAATCGATTAACAAAACAAACAGCTGCTGTATTTTCAGTCCACCCATCCATCAACTATACAGTTCATTATTGAACAGGGTCATGGGGCGCTGGAGCCAGTCCCAGCTGACACTGGGCGAGAGGCAGGTCGCCAGTCTATCACAGGTCTGACATGTAGGCAAACAAACACACACACTCCTGGGAGCAATTTAGAGTCACCAGTCAACCTAAGCTGCTTGTCTTTGCACTGTGGGAGGAAGCTGGAGTACCCGGAGAAAACCAACGCTGGCACAGGGAGAACATGCAGACTCCGAACAGAAAGGAGCCTGGGTCAGCTGGGACTCGAACCTGGAACCTTCTAGATAGCGCTAACCACCCCACCACTGTATTTTGATCATCAGTAATCTTACAAGCAAAAATGCAAGGCATGACCTCGGGCTCTGCAAAACTGTAACAAGCTTGTCTCCCTCTTTTGATGACATTTTATAGCCCAAACTCATCAGTACATCAAGAAAACAAATGGCAGATTATTCACCAATGAAAAATAGCTGTTAGTTCCACCCTTTTATGGAATAGCTTTACAATTTGGAGTGTGGGTGGTAATTTAAAGGTCTGGAATTGGGCTATGACTGCTCAAAAAAATCTTTTGTCCATCTCACAATTTGCTTTTCTTTATGACAGTTACAACATCAGAGATGCTTTCACATACTTAGTATGACATTTTGCTGGATTAGTCCTTTTCTGTCATGTCAGGGTATTTGTGCACACATTTCTAAAACCGTTCATGCTCAACTATTCCCCACCCATGCCCTGACCTGCCTTTTATGATCATACTGCATCTGCAGTGATGAGCAGGTTAAATAATACATTCCAATAGATGCCACAATATCCCTCTCCTCCCCTCCCCCGCACCTCAAAAAATAATGATTCCCTTAAATAAAGATCCATTCTTATTTAGTTTGGTTGTTTTAATGGAGTTATCCAACTTTCCATCCTTCAACCAAGAGAGAAAGAGAAAAAAAAAACAAAATTAAAAATACATGTTAAAAAAACAAAACAAAAAAAACACTGATGAGCACACTAGAAGCTACAAAACAAAAATCTTTTCTGAACAACTCAAAAATATAAAGAAAAACACAGGCTTCAAATTGTAGGCTGTATTTTTAGTTAAAAATGAAAACGAAAAATATAGTTTTTACATAAACATCTCTTTTAAACTTTTGATTCCGGTAGTTGTGAGGTTTTCCTCTGAGGGTGAATGTGTCCGTGAAGCACACGGGACCTGATCCAGAAACAGATCAGGCTGCTCGCTGTGCACTTCCTTTGACCCAAAGGAATAAAAACTTTATAGACTATGTGTGAGAGCCACATCATTTTGTCCATAACGTCTCTTTATGATAAGCTCAAAAAAGCGTGCAGCGTGTGCTGTGTGCACATGGTCCGACAGTTTCACTGCATCACATTCTATTGTCCTCTCTTCTGTATTTCCTCAGAAACACTCTGTCTCTTCTATGAACCAGTCAGTAAGGAAGAAAAAGCTAACAACAAAAAAAGAGAACTAGCCAGTCTGGCAGGAAAATAACTGAATCCAGTCTGTCAGCCAGTCAGCTTGTCTTTCACAGTCACTGTTTAGTTGTGGTCACAGCAGTTTGTGTTGATCCAGTTTCAGTTCAGTTTGGGACCATAAACAAATAGTCCAGCGCTGGTGCAGCTGGTCCACACTTAAAGCTCCGAACAGCAAACATGTTACTGTACGTCTGCTCAGTCCTGAGCACTAGTAAGCAGTAGATTAGCCTAGCAAACATGTTCTACTGCCCGGTGGTCCAGCCAGTTCACCCAAGGTAGACGACAGGACCTCCAACAGCACAGAATGGGTGGGTGGGGGGGTGGGGGATTATGCAAAGGTCAAGAGTAAGAGAGAAGAGAAGGCAAATCAGAGTGAAAAAAGAGAGGAGGGGTTTCTCTCTCATCTCATGACAGTTTTCATTTGTGTCTCTGGAGAGCTTTCCTCTTCCTCCTCTTGAAGAAACAGCAGCACCTGCAATACACAAAACATCAGACTTAGCAAACTTCAAACAGCTTCCCTCTTTCAAGAAATATTTCTTTTGCACTTATTTCAAGTAACAGTGAACACAAGCCCCCCTATGAGCTCTTGTGCAGCTAACCAGCTCTGAATACAACAGTGTTACCATGAGTAAATGGTACACATACATCCTAATGCAATAAAGGGCAGTCCCTGCCTGACACACATGGATTTTCAGAATCACACAAGTGAATGGAAATGACAAAATTAGAAATGTGGGGACAGTCACAGGGACAGCTTAGCGCAGGTTCAAATATCAAAGGGGCTGGTTTTGCAAAATGCTGCGAGATTAATCGTTTTTCAATCATGAATCGGACCCCTATGCGCTCTCAGTCTCATGTGACCATCATCCTGCCGTGTTTGCATTAGCAGGGAGATGCCTGGAATCAAACCAATTGCGCTCCCTTTTCCTCGCTAAGCTGTGTTGTCCAATAACAGGAATGTGTTGCATCACGTGACGAGCTGTAGACAGGTGAGGCTGGAACTACATCTAGCTCCTGGTCTATCAGGACAGGCACCCCCCAGGGATGTGTGCTCACCCCTCTGCTCTTCTCCCTCTACACCAACAACTGCAGCTCAAAGCCCCCCTATGGAACTTCTAAAGTTGGCTGACAACACAATGGTCATCAGACTCATTTGAGATGGTGACGAGTGGGCTTACAGATGGGAGGTTGAACAGCTGGTCTTGTTGTGCGGTCGCAACAACCTGGAGCTGAACTGGAGCAGTGGAGATGACAGTGGACTTCAGGAGGAAGTATACTGTATATCTATCTGAAAAACTGTATGTATATGTATTTCTATATTTATGAGTACTTTATTTTTATTTCCCTAATGCACATTCCTTTTTCTTGTTTGCACAACAACAAGAAATGTGGTTCTTTCTTCTGGTCAAAATTATACTGTGCCTCTGAATGTCACAGGTCCTAGAAAAATGTATTTTCCTTTTCTTGTTCTTTTGGCCTTATCTTGTTTATTTGTTGCCTTATGGAGGAGCACTGTACATGCACTCTGAGAGCCACTGTAGCAGAGTCAGATTCCTCATGTGTCCAACACACATGGTCAATGAAGCTGGTTCTGGTTCTGACTCCAAGACCGCACAGGGGTCTGAGTCGTGATCAAAAAACAATTAATCTTGCAGCCCTAGTTTTGCATAAAATGTTAAAAGAAGATTTGCAGGTGCTGACACAGTCTACACATTGGCACCACGCTCACTTGTGTGTGTGTGTGTGTGTGTGTGTGTGTCCTTACTTGGTATCATCAGCCACTTCCACCTCTGCATTTGCTGTGATTGGTGCATTGGAGTGTCCTGCAGTGGGGTCATCTGTATTCAGCTCCCCATTGGTTGAACTCATCACCTGGAGGTGCAAAATGGAAAAGAGGGTGATGAGTAGAGATGTACTGATGGCATCAGGGTGGGACAAAATTTACATAAACCTCCATAAGGTCCATGCTAAGACAGATAAATCTGAAAACAGCATTTGTGCGAAAACATGCTGCCACTCTAGTATTTTCAGGTAATTATTTTATAAAGGTCTTCTCTTTTGCCTAAAAACAGAAATGCACAATACAAATCAAATAAAAAGCACTGAGACACAGGCTAATCAATGTGCTTAACCCACAGTCAGACTGAGTTTCAAAGGTATGAAAAACGCATTAATTCTCCATTCATTTCTAATGGGGCACCAGCAAAGCAACGCAGCCCTGTGCAGAGAAAAAGTTGGATCTGGTTCTATTTTTGCTGTACCAGACGGTGACATCATCCTGCAAATGTGCTGCATTGACCAATCTCATACTGGGGACAGTTGGAATGTAGAATGTGGACGCCCACAGGAAGAAGATTCTTCCAGTTAAGACACCATAATGACATGACATGCATTTTCGTTAGCTAGGACACTAGATGTTGAACAGTGTTTTTTAATCTATCAATGCCAACACGTTAGAAACTGGTGCTAATTTAGATTAGGCTACGTTATAGCAGCATGCGATGCAACCAATCACAGTTGTTGTTATTTGCATCGCCGCAACATGCAATTACATTTCTGGAGTGGTGCATATCAGGCTACAGCGTAGGGTACAAGGGTACATGTTACCTATGCCGTAGCTTTAACGCAGAACCATAAATAAAACTTTACTCTCAGCTAGTAACATCCTATGTTCTGCTCACCATCATCACAAAGGAAAAAACTGTTTTCAGATGTAGCCAGCTTAATGTGGACATGGTCTCAGTGGTCCATAAGCCACTGCTCTGACTGAGTCCGGTGTATCCAGTCATTGATTTTGGAAACATTATTGAACTTTAACAAAACAAAAACATTTCTTTTAACAGTGTTTTTTTCTTTTTACTTTGTTTTAACTGAAGAACAAATAAAGCATTTCATCTACCTGTGATTGACAGTTCAGAGAAAATGACTTATTCTACAAATAAAACTTTTACTTTGTTACCGCTTGACAATATTGTTTGCCATAACCTAAAAAAATTAAATATACGCTCAACATGACAGCCACATCTACAGTATCTCTCTCCCTCTTGTTGTACATGTACTTGATGCCAGCAAAAAATGCTTGCACTGTAGAGCGCTGAAGGGATGCACCAGGTTTATAACACAAGATAAAACGAGGGCATCATGGCGAAACAGAGTGCAGCACTTTAATGTTTCTGTCTTGATTGTTTTGTTTTTATAATCACTGGAAGGACTGGAAATTAAAAATTAAATGATTAATCGCCTAGCCAACAATAATACAAGTATTTTCTTAGAAAATTATTAAAATCCTCAATTTCTCTCTTTGACTTTTATTATTGTGGTCTTGGTGTAAAATAAAACAATGTTCCATTAAAACATGTGGAAGAGTGATTGATTTGAAAAACTTTAAATGCATTACACTCAGTGACAGTTTTATATCCAGTCTTGCAGACAACAGAACAGCTTATCTGATGTAGGTGATGTGTAAATGGTAACACAATTAGAAGATATCTGTGTGTGTGTGTGTTTCACACACATTTTCTACATACAGACGTGGACAAAATTGTCAGTACCCTTCTGTTAAAGAGAAACTCACAATGGTCACTGAAATAACGTAAAACTGGCAAAAGTAATAATAAATAAAAATTTGTGATGCAGTTTAGTTTAACATGTCTCTGTGGTCACATTATTTTCAATCCTTTCTAGGGGTACCATCATTTTTGTCCAGGCCAGTTTCATTAGTTTGGTTTTTAAAATGCTTCTGTTGAACCACAATTCAAAAGCAATGACTGATTTTCATTAGTTAATTTTCAGTACATTTTTATTTATTATTACTTTTGTCAGTTTCACATTATTTCAGTGACCATTGTGAGTTTCTCTTTCTTTAACAGAAGGGTACCAACAATTTTGTCCACGTCTGTATAATTCCTGGTGTTTGTATTCTTTTGTCCTAATGTCTTAATGTCCTGTCCGCTGCACTGGTACGAAACAGAGCAGTTCACATAAACCTGAACAACAGGAACTGTTATCCTAACCACAAAAAGCACACAAAGAAAACAGAACTTTGCTGAAAACTTAATATGTAAACACACTGCTACTAACTAGTCAGGCCTCACCTGTCATAGTTGATAAGGCAAATCCTATATTGGCTGCACTATATACACAGAGAGACAACACATGAAGCATCCAGCAACAAAAGCTGTTACCACTAACTAACCTAAGGTAGTTCATGTCAGCTAACCGAGAACTACTGCATTCAACCCTAATATCTTTCTGACATGTAAATTCTCAACAATTATAAACTTTCCCACTCATACCTTTAGCTCTGCACTGACCATATGCCAAGTCACTACGTGTTGCTTTAGTGACCACTGACAAATATGAAAAATAAAAAACACACTATTACACAAACACAGTGACGTTACCTGAACTATATCTGGGTCTGGTCTGCAGGTGTGACCTCATGTTTACCGTTAACACCAGAATGAAATGCCTAATGCAAATTAAGCTCATCTTCACCAAACTCATGTGTCACACTGAATTTGTGTGAGAAATACTTTGAAAATCTCTACACCAACTCTCACACTCTCATCAAAAACTACCACCTTCACTTTTGCTCCTTTTCTATTGTTTATTCTAGTTGTTGCTATATACTAAGTATGAAAGCCAACTTCCCCTACTGGTCACTGGTCAGTTCACAAATAGCAATCTACATCATGTGCTCTCTAAAGTCTACAGCCAGGGAACCACCTACTGACCTGCTGACAACAGTCTCCATTTTATGGTCAAAAAGACAGTGGTAGTTTGAAATATAGTAGAAGCGTAAACACTGCCTTACTACTGTATAAAGAATGATGCAGAACTGGAAAAGGGCATAAGCTACACTAACCCTGACCTAGACAAGTACAAAGTAATTTTATTCCTAAGTTAGGGAACTACTGAGCTTGTGAAGAAACAGACAACAGACTTGAGATCAGCCCTGCTGCACAGACAGGGAAGGTCATGCAGGCAGACAGACAGGTAGGCATACACACAGGAAGCCAACAGAGCTAACCCTTCCTTTCAGTACCTGGACAGATCCGCCCAGCCTATCAGCAGTGAGATGGGAGCCCAGCAGCTCTCGATTGGTCACTGGAGTGGGCTGGGACTCACTGCCTTTCCCCTCTGGAGACTAGAGGAGATGGAAAGCCGATCGCAGGAGAAACAAGAAGGGGGAGAAGGAACGGGTGGTGGAGAAGAGAAGAGGTGATGAGGCCAAGTGAGATGGAAGAGAAGGGTTGCCATAGAAAGGAGAAGAGTGGAAGAAGGAAAGCAGTAAGGCAAGGGAGAAGTGGGGAGTTGAGATGATGGAGGAGAGGAATGGTGGGGGAGGAGCAGTACAGTGAGGGCACAAAAGAATGAAGAAAGAGTGGAAACGGAAAGAGAAAATAGTGAGTTCAGATTCAGTATTTGGTGGAGGACCAACAGAAGGAAAAACACTCAAGTGTGCAGTACAGTGAGAGTGCACACGTGTGGAAGTCCCATACAGAAGGGGAAGGTGATGGTCTATTTCATGTTCCCTTAATGTCACCTGCCTCAAACCTGCTTTATAGGATTAGGGCCCAAACAGACCTGCAGTGTAACCTACCGTAACTACTAGTGCCTTTGTAAACTCAAATGTAGGGGTGGGTAGTATAATCAGTACAAACCACTCACTATGGAATATGTGAAGAACGTGATTGGGGACTGTTTCTGTTAGAATGGCTGGCTTGTCACACCAAGTATGCTAAAACCAATACATATGAATGAAAAAGTGGGGAAAAAATGGAGAGATTTCTACTAAGGCAGAACCAAATTGTAAAAAACCAAAAGTTTGCTTTGGTTACACAAAATTGTTGAGCAGATTATAATGAATCTGGAAACTGCAGGGTGTTGCTATGTTGCAAATATTTCACCCTAAACAAAATGCAGAAGTTGTACAAAAGCTGTAGTGTGAAATGTGGAGCAAATAGAACACACAGAGGCCTAAGTTCACACGACATCAGCTGTACTGTGTGTTTTAACTACCAACGCAGTCTATTAACTCCAACGATAAGTAGTTCTTGCCCCACAATCCTGCAGTGCATTTTAACTGTCTTGAAACAAAGATATACTATGTAACATACAGTAGGAGTATATACAATACTAGGGTGGAACTCATCGGTAAACCCATGATTCAATTAGATTCCGATTCTTGGTGTCACAATTTGATTCTGAATGATTCAATTCATTTAAAAAAAAAGGACACTATATTTTGGCTCTTCCTTTAGTTTACTGAATGTCAAACAACCGATTTCTGTCCACTGAGCTGCTAAAAAAGCTCAGACAAACCGTTAAGCTAACAGGTTCTGATGAACATCAACACCAAGTCCATTACATATTGCTACCCAGCAGTATTTCAGTCCTGGATTAGCTTCTTTGTCTGTGTCACAGACCTCCACTGTTGTTCAAAAATGATTAAAAACACATCAGCAAAACAGATCATGGTACCCGGTGACATATTTCTTCCTTAGCATTAACCAGTCCTGAGAGCAGCTAGCGAAATGTAATAAAAGCTGAGAGCTTGTACAAGACCTTACGTATGCGCAGTTGACACCAACTCGTACCAACTTCAGGAAACTATGGCTGCACAGAGACTTTGGCGCAACATAGTCGGGTCTGGTGTTTCATTACAAAAAACATGTCACAGTCTGTTGGTGATGGGCTTATTCACACAATTCTCCACACTTATCTTTCAAAGCTCATTATCAAGTCATTAACACAGACAACCCACCTTGCAAAAACTAATTCCAGGAAGAACTCCCTGACTCATACCCCCTATTTAAAATCATAGAAGGTATGAATTGTGATTCTTATGTGAATCAGTGTTTTTCTACCACACCTATATAATACCATTCAAAGCTTTGGGGTCACCTCAATTTCTCCAGTTGTTTTTAGTGTAATCCAACAGTCAAACACACTTGTGCCATTCTTTCTACAACTGAAATCAAATGCTCAGATAGATAGCACTGTTGTAGAACTTCCCATAAATTGGATTGCACTTGTAGGTTAAAGGTTTGCTGTGTTTTGTTATACAGACAAACATGGATTAACAGTTATGTTATGTTGTTATGATCTGGGGGAAGAAACTGTCCTTGTGCCTGGTTGTCTTGCCGCACAGTGACCTGTAATGCAGTTTGGAGGGGAGGAGTTCAAACAGTCTGTGTCCAGGGTATGAGGGGTCTGTAGTGAACCTCTCCACCCTCCTTTTGACCCGTGAGATGTACAGGTCCTCCAAGGAGGGCAGGCTCACACCAATGACCTTTTCTGCAGACCTGACTGTCCGCTGAAGTCTGTACTTGTCCTGTTTGGTTGCTGAGCCAAACCGGACAGTGATGGAGGTGCAGAGAACAGACTCGATGATTCCTCTGTAGAACTGTATCAGCAGCTCCTGTGGCAGGTCGAACTTCCTGAGCTGGCGCAGGAAGTACATCCTCTGCTGTGCCTTCTTGGTGATGGTCCTGATGTTGGATGACCTCTTCGGGTCCTGGGAGATAGTGGAGCCCAGGTACTTGAAAGTCTCCACTGCTAATACAGTGCTGCTATGTGTGGTGGGCGTCTGTGCTGATAGACCAGGTGCTGGATGTGGTTTTCCCCAGCCTCACCTGCTGCTTCCCGTCTGTCAGAAAGCTGGTGATCTACTGACAGGTGAGGGCAGGCACAGTGAGCTGGGTCAATTTAAAGTGAAGGATGTCTGGGAAGATGGTAATGAACACCGAGCTGAAGTCCACAAAGAGGGCCCATGCGTAGGCCCCCGAGGAGTGGAGTGAGGAGTGGGTGAGGGGTGTGAAGTGCTACCTCTCAAACAGCAGGAAAACATATTTCAGCAATCTGCCAGGTGATTGTTCTCCAAAAAAATGGCGGGGGGTTGTTCTTCCATCCAGTGATGTACTACAGGCCTCTCCATACTGACATATGTTCTGAGGCCTCCTCCTTGCACGATGAAGCTGATTGAGTTTTACTGTGAACTAGGGCTGTCACTTTCTTCAAAAATCACATTCAAACAATGTTCAAATTGACACATAATTCATTTAAATTAATTTAAATGCACCTCAACCCAAAAACAGAAAATATAAAGTATAGAGTTGGGCTTAATATTTAATAAAAAATAAAGTCAGTACCTCTCGCTGCTTTGTTATGCGCTGCGTCAGGAGAGCTTAGCTAAGATATGACATGCTGCAGGGGTAGAAAAATGAAAAAAAAAAAAAATGCTGCACACTCAAAGCTTACATGATGCATTTAGAATGTGTAGCCAATGTTTTGACCCACTAGCTTTCTGCAGGGCAAGTAAGCTGCAGGGGTAGGACAGTCAGCCGAGGCAGTAGAACAGATGCTGCTCTACTCAACTGTGGGAATGTTAACTTCAGTGCCTCACCTGGAGAGTGAGATTGCAGGTGAGTCCTCAGATGTTTTTGTACTTGAGTAGGCATCTGCTTTTTTGCTGAGTTGGCAAACCATTTACCTTGACACTGCTCTGGTGTCTGATCAGCACAACTTTGCTCACTACTGTGCCGCATTTTGTCCTTGCAAACACAATGTTACTTTACTGAGAAGTCAACACAGGAGGTGTAATTGGTCAAGCTGATATTGAATTTTAAGAATGTCCTCTGCTGCACGACAAGGCACAATTACATCAACCAGCCTTTTTGGCTTGTCGTTGTATGTCCAGAAGGTCTTGGTGGGCTCACAGACTTCCTCACAAAAGCTGATGTATGATATCACAGTGTCAGTGAGTTCATCCAGGTGTGTATAGGCAGCCTCAAATACACTCCAATCTGCGTTATCAAAGCAAGTCTGTAGCTCTGACTTTGCCTCCTCAGTTAATCTCTTCACTGTTTTAAACACAGGCTTTGCCACTTTAAGTTTATGCCTGTAGGTCGATATGAGATGGACCATGTGTAGCAGTGGTCCAGTGTGTTTTTGTCCCTGGTGGGACAGCTTACGTGCTGTCTGTATTTGGGCAGTTCGTGGGGAGATTTGGTTTGTTAAAATCCCCTAAAACAATGAGTCTGGATGTTTCCGTTGCATACAAGTTAACTGGTCAGCCAGGTGTAGGGCCTCGCTAGATAGTTTGTTATTGTAAGTAATCAACAAAAGTTGGAACATTTTTTGGAACTTCATCAGTTTTCAAGTCTTAGGGCCTTATTTTGATGATCCAAGGTTCACCTTTCTAGACGCAACAATCAAGGTGCATAAAGGGTGTATCCAAAACAATTTTGCAATTTTGACGGCACAAAAAGTATGTCTGCGTCAGGCAACTGCTTTTTTGTTTTTTAAAGGGTTGGACTTACTCTCTTAAATAACCCATGCGTGTTTTGGGTGTAATATACATAAACCAATCAAAATGCCATCTCACATTCCCTTTAAAAGGCAGTCATGCTGGTACCACGACAGATAGCTATTATGACGATGAAATAACCTGGAGGGAGGCAGGAGCGATTTAAATACCTAGTTGTAAGGCCACAATTGTTCAAACAATTTGCCATTTACACTGACTATTATTGTGACCGAATATAAAATAACTTTGTGTACAGGGTACTAATTTTAATTCTGAAAAAATTCTATTTTTAATCTGTAGCATTTTGGTGCACTGCTATGAGTCTCTTTCTAGGTGGCAAGCAACATGTCCGCACCTTGTGCGACCGCTCATGCACAAACATATTATTAACATGATACAGCACCTTTAAAATGCTGAACTGTTGACTTAAACCAGCTTTTTGTTGGTCACTGGCGCAACTTCTTATTGCATCCTGGAGATACTAAGCACGCCTACAAAGGCCCCTCGTTTACATCGACACTCCCAGGTGACCAAAAGCGTATGTGGATTTAAGTTAACCTACTAGTGGATGTCTAAAAAAGGGATATTTTATAAATTTACACAAAAGTTTTTGTTTTTAGTGGCTTTTTTGTTTGTTTTACCTCTATTGTAGTTTACTTCTTAGCTTTGTACTATCTGATGTTATTGACTCAAACTCAAACTGCTTCAATGTCATAACGAAAAGTGGAAACGCATTCACACATTCACATACTGGTGATATCACCAGGAGCAACTTGGGATTCAGTGTCCTCAACATGTGGACTGGTGAAGATGGGAATCGAACTGCCAACCCTTTGTTTGAGATGGTCTGAATTGTCCCTGTCACACTGGATTGTTGACCCCAAAAACTTAAACTCCTGCACCTTCTTGACCTTCTCTCCTACAAGCATACAACTCTCATTTGTGTCCATGTTGTCAAACAGTTTTTTCCCTCATTTACAAAAGTCGATAATGCATCCTGTGGTGCTCAAGGCACAATAGGATGCAGGATGGTCCATTAGCTAGCCAGTGTACTAAATATATTCATTCATTCATTCTCCCCTACAGCTTGGTGATGTTTTACACAGGTACTTGTGTTGCATAAAAGGAGCCCGTGCATTAAAAGTGAGGGAACAAGTCTTGTTTGCAATAAACACCACATATACAGTGAGTACGGAAAGTATTCAGACCCCCTTAAAATTTTCACTCTTTATTATATTGCAGCCATATGCTAAAATCATTTAAGTTCATTTTTTT